CATCATTATTCAGACAAATACAATGCTTTTTATCTTTCTAAGTATCTAAATGTAACCCAGGAAATGCATGCCAAAGGATGATTGTTATGTTCCACAAAAATATAGATTTCTATACTTTACAATTCAGTATTAGAATTTTATATATGTATATATAATACGTACATCTTCACAATACAATTTAAAATTAAACACATCATCACAGTTTTGTTTCACAATCCATAAAAGGCAACAGAGAAGAGTGTGGCACGAGTAGAAGGAAGAAATATGTGGGGAATCCAAATTATATATTTGTTCTGTAACATTTTCACTTGCAGAGATAATGCTCCGAAACATTCTGACATCACATTTGTTATTCAGGTACAAGGGACTCTATGTATGAAGGAGGGAAGAGAGGACAGTTCCATTCAGTTTACATCAAGTCATATTTTAATAATATAAAATAAATTATAATAATTTTCATGATTTATATAGTTGCAGTTGTTGTCAGTCTTTGGTTTCTCCTACAAAGGCCAGAAAAAGGTGCAGGTAAAGCAAAGGATTAAATGGTAAAGTTGTGGTAACTGAAAAATTATGCTCAGGGACAGATAATGCAGCAGTCATTGGCTTCTTAATTGTTATATATGAAATGAGGGGTAGGAATATACAGTGAATTATTACAATTCAGATATTTCAGTTTCTAGCTAATAACACAGATATACTCTTAAGTAGGTTCTACTGCAGGTGAGAAGCAACCAACCTATTGAGAATAGACTGATAAACCAACCATCATGTGTAAAGATGCCCTACAATATAACTAACAAGGGATTTACTATGAAATTTAATGTTTTCATGGCAGTGAAAATTTAATAGAGATTTGTGTTACAAATTATTACTCAAATTGTAAGTTTAATGAGTTTTATTATTTAAATCATGTATGCAGAAATTTAAACAACAAAAGGAGTAACAACCACCTACAGCTTTCAACATATTTTTAAAAAAGAGAAGATTTTTAAATTCCTAACAACCAGGACAAATAATAGACTATATCAATGTAACACACTTTGTAGCTTACAAGAAAGTAAAACTGTACCTGAAATTAAACACATGCCATGAAGATGTACAGGGGAGTGGAGCCACGGTACCAATCACTAGATGAGGGTGATTGAATGGTCATCTCCATGCACTGAATATTCTAGCATACAGGAAGGGGATTCCAGTGCCCATTTGATAAGAGGCTTGGTTGGCCGCTAGCTGGTCTGGACAGAGGGAAGCCCAGCTGAGAAACAAATGGTGGTCATGCAGGCCACAGCCAATCCCTACACTGACTGTGTCATCCTGTTTTATCACTGTCAAATTTACCCAATTTCCAATTATTATTCTAACAAATAATGCTTCACAATTGTAACATTTTGTGTAGCCTAAAGTATGAAGCGATACATTCACATTCTCTTAGGAGTCAAACAAAACCAGGACTAAAATCTGTAGCAGAGCCTTTATTTCAGTGATACATCTGATCATTCCTGTCAGCTCAAGTGCTCGTTCTTCAGAATTGTATTTTGGAGGTCCCTGTTCGCATCTTTGTCAAGTTAATGACAGTACTGACTCAGATTTCACGTAGTTATTCTCAGTCCCTCAAAGGAATAGCCCAGATAATGCCTTTACATAGACCACATTTCTTTTGAGTTCACCAGACATGATGTTTTGCTTATATCATTTCATGTTATATAATTGCTGCAGTTGAAAGAATGCCCTTAAATGGCCTATGAGCCATCCATTACTCTGAAGAAATCCACTAATTTTCCAGAAATTGTTCTAGAGACATACTGAAATTAAAGGCATTTTTTTTAATATTATTGAAATCTCTGATATAATTTACTGTTCTAATTCAAAACCTTACTGAGATACTGCTGTTGTTCACTCACATCTTATCTTTGTTAGACTTTCACTGCCATTTTTCTACCTCAATCTGTCCCTGGTGCATCAACAAACATCATTAAATGGTTTAGACTGGCAAGATAACATGCCAAAAAATAATAATTTACACCCATGTCACTGAACATTTCCAGTAATAGACTACCTCAACAAGTTCACCAGATACAGTTTGATAACATAATATTACATACCAAAGGCTCTGACTTCATGGTCATTCTGGTGATTTGTTGAAGTACATGATTAATATGATTTGATGATCCTAGTGAAACAACATAAACTTAATTATTTTACACAGTACTGCCAATTAACATAGATGAATATTATCCTCTCTTCTTCCAGAAATTCCCTTCCTCTTGTTGAAGGAAATTATAATTGTTTCCTTCCAACTGTCTTTGCAGCTATACATCATCTGTAACACACCATGAGAGCAGATTCTATGTTTGGACCAATACTGTGTCAAATTTTATAAAGGATATGGAATTACAAATGAATCAAGCACACTGTCCTACCAAACATGCCTTTTGTTTCTCCAGCACTAACAGGGTATTGTGTTTTCCTGCAGATGCCTGTGTGACAGAACCTATTCAGGAGGCTGGGGCTGAAAGGGTTCTGTAAGCCAGCAAGATGGGAGCACTGGCCAAAATTTGGAACTTACTCACTCACTCAGCATACAATCCAAATTCATAGTGCTGTGTTCTCTGTATAGTAACTGAAATTAATGCACATGTTGAAGGAAGAGAGAAGCATGCTAAAGAATATAAAGAACTTCAGTAGGGATAATAAACACTTATGTCTCGGTGCACTCCTTCAAGCAAATATTTTCTCCAGATCTGATTCATGGTCTTGCCATTATAAATTTTCTCTTCTTTAAATCCAGTCTGTGCACGAGGTTGTAGCTTAATACTTGTACACTCTATATAACTTTACATTGCTATATAATTATATTTTTAATGAACAGGATTAATAACAGATAATACAGGTTTTATATTCCAAATGATGGTTATTACAAATATTTGCTGTCACATTGTGTAAACAGTGAACGTTCTTTCAAGTGATCTTTGAAATAAGGTTTGCAGAGATGGACTAAGAGATAGCTTAGAATGGCTTTACTCTTGTTTCCTTCAGTTTTGCATGATTTACTGAAGCTCTTATTCAACATATTATTTGTATGAATGTTCAGAAAACTACTATCTTATGTTCAAACAATTACATTGTTGTAAGATCTGAGGTTTTCACGGCGGTGATTATGAAGAAAGCAGTCTTCTGGGATGTGGCGCTGTGTAGATGTGGTGTTAACCGACGTTTCGGAGGAACGTATCACCTCCATCTTCAGGGTAGAAGGGAAAATAAGAAAATCCGCAAGCGAAGAAACAGTGAGTGCAGGTGCAAACAGACTAATGTCGGAAATAAACTGAGCTATGTGAGAGCAGGAAAGGAAGGGACAGGTCTACTTGGGAAATCAGTGGAGAGGGAGAGGGGAAGGGTCTGGGACAGGAGCAAGGCATCATTAGGGAAGCCATTGAGATTGAACTCCATCCCAACAATGAACAGAGCAAGCCATGAAACTTCTCATCTGTTCCCTAAAAAAACCCCCCGGGACATGACGCCAGATCCACAAGGCCACTGACTGGCATAGCAACCTCCCCAGCTTATGGGTTAATGCCCTCCCATTAACCTTGGCTTTCTCCCCATACACAATATCCTATACCTGCTCTAATCTTGCTCCTGTCCCAGACCCTTCCCCTCTCCCTCTCCACTGATTTCCCATGTGGACCTGTCCCTTCCTTTCCTGCTCTCATATAGCTGAGTTTATTTCCGACATTAGTCTGCTTGCACCTGCTCATTGTTTCTTCACTTGCGGATTTTATTTTTCCTTCTACCCTGAAAATGGACGCAATACATTCCTCCGAAACATCGGTTAATACCACATCTACACGGCACCACATCCCAGAAGACTGCTTTCTTCAATTACATTGTTCTTCATGTTACTCAACTTAATACTGCAAATGGTCTTCTAATACAATGGTTTGCTGAGAGGAGTTAATTGTTTTCCACTAAATAAGCATGTAGTAGGGTATTACATGACATTCCACCTTCCTCCTCTCAGTGCATTAAATTAGCTTCACAGTTTGTATGAAGAAACCACATCAGTGACACTCTAATGGTACAAGAACCTAAGTGATTGAAGCTCCTACATGCATATTAACTGCAGGAAAATCCAACACACTAGGATTCATACACATTTATAACATAACATTACAATTTTAATGCATAAAACACTGCAATAAATATTTTTGGCAACTTTGTGGATGGGAATATCTTTCATAACAGATGTAAGTACCTTTAGTCTCTATGCCATGCTACACAATGTTTGCTAAAGAACAAATTTCAACAGCACTGGCCTTGAAAATTTACTTACTGTTCTGTTGAAATCAATTACAATAGAAAGAAATTTCCTTACCCAAAGGCCAATCTGTTGTAACATTTCAAATATAAATATTTGTAATAAATAACAATCACTTTTTATATGGATACAAGGTAATATATATGTTATTTCTATACTAATATTTACCTTCTGAAAGTTCTGTCTGTTCTCATATGTCATGACATAAATTAACATTACATACATGTATCTACATATTCACAATTAAAGCATCACATTTACAACTAAATTAAATGTCATACAGCAACAATAATACACAATTATTACAATATATTTGCAGCTCTCCACTGAAAACTTGCTGCATTCTTGTGCATTGTGCAGAGACAATAGTAATACACAATGAACAAACATAATTCACCCAAGAGGAATATTTGTATTCATATGATTCTTTTTGCTAGAAACTGTTTACAAATGGAGACTGTATGAATAAGGGGAGACAGAACCACAAATGATACATTTAATACATAATACACTTTAACTGTCCAGCACAAAGATAACAAACACAGCAATGCTGGACAGAAACGTTTACCTGAATCTAATTTATTGGCTTAATCTAATGATTAGCATGGCTACATACTGATTCCTTCAACTTTTACCACAGTCTCCATTCATACATTGTTTTACCCTTCTGAGTCCTGTCTGTCTCATATTAAGGAAATTAAAATGTTCATGCTGTTACCATAACTGGCTTAATTATGCAATTCATGAGCTGTGCTATGAAACCATGCAGATGTGATTTGGTGGAGTGTACTGAAGACATGAAACAATAAATCTGAGGAGGTTTCATAGATGCATCTACTTTTAATAGTATGAGATTGACTTATGATCACAAGGTTAAAAATATCATGTATAATTTATCAATGGCTGTTCACTAGTTTATGAACATTTTGAAGCAGTTTATTTAAAGATAATACAATCCTAGATTAAGTTAAAGTGATTTGTCATCTTTAAAATTTCATTGTCGGCTGCACACTTGCATATAAAGTTCCACTACTAAAAGTATCACGTATTTCCCAGTCATTGCTTATCTTTGGCTCACTGAATATAAACCAGATATTGATATTTCATATGTGACATATGAATTTTTTAAAATAATTACAATCAAGTTTTAGTCTGTGGGATGCTGAACTTGTTCTAGGCCTTAAGTACAAATTACCAGATGCTACTGAATGAAGTGGAAGGAAAGCTGCGTTTAACAGCCAATATACTCTTTGAATTGAAGGGGTTGTGCGCCACTTTGATAAAAAATACTTTTCATACAATGTAATACTGTTTACATGATATGAAAAAAACTTTAGAAAAAGCCAAAACTTGATGACTTAGTTGAAGTATACATAGTATAAATTTGGTGAGGTAAAATGTGCGTGTACAGATACACCCAACAACCTCAGCATACATGTGCATATTTTAACTTATTCTGCACAATTCATTTTCCAGGCATTTTGATCTGTGCATATGGTTTGTTAGACTAAAAGCAACAATGAAGTACCGTGAAGACCATGGACAGTGTGAACTGCTTTCGATACTCATCTTGAAGAAAATGAGTTGAAATATTATTGATGATTTCATATTCCTCGCTCAACTTCAAAGTAAATGCTTTGGCCAGGTATGTTTCATTTTAAAGTGTATCCAAAAATAAATTACTTTGGCTTTCACTTTAAATAAAAGCAACAAATTTGATGCAGCTGTATCATGATCACCCAGAAATTCAAGATGTCTTTAAATTCTTGAGGGTATATATGATACAACCTCACTGCAAAGGATTCAGGGAACTGGATTTGCTGTACAGGGAAACCTCTACTTACAAACTTTCAAGAAATGAACAATTTATATTTATGAACATTGCACGGACTAATAGATTACGACTTCCAATTCATTTAACGGAAGCAGAACCCTGCACTTATGAACAATCTAACAGATAAACATTAACAAATTTAATGACATATCTTATAAAAGAAATAAATTCAATTTATGAATATTCAAGTTACAAACACATTTCAATGAGCACATTATGTTTGTAAGTTGGGGTTTGCTTGTATTTTCTTCAGCGTGGGATTTGTATCAAGCCTTGGACAAGGAGAATGCATTGCACTGTCAAAGAAAGTAATATTAAGTGTTCAGCATTTATGAGTACAAATGTTATAAAAAGATTATGTTAAGTTATTGAGCTTCTGTATGAGTGTGCTGGCAAGGGATAACATTGGGGAATTTTTATTCCATTTGGATGTTAACACTCTTCTTCTAGTATGAAAATACTATTAATTTCCTCTATTCCTATCCCTGTCAGGACACATTCTTATACACTGCACTGGAGTTTTTATTGAGAAATTTTAATAATTTATAATATTGATAATTTGTTTTCAAACATTTTCCATTCATATATGCATGCATATATTTAATTTTTATCTATTTTACTGAAATGTTTTAAGCACATTAAGGCCAAATTTAGCCCATTAAAAAACGAAACATTAGTCAACAGTAGTATTTTCATATTGTACTGTAAATGACAGTTTGGAAATCATTGTGTTTAATTCTGCACAACAAACATATACTTTCTTTCATATAATTAATTCAGCCTATTACAAATTATATTTACTTTTCCAGAATTGCATGGAAAATAACAACATATTCTCCACCTTGAATAATTAGTGGGTAATTAAATTGTTTCATTTATATCAAGACTCAAATGTGTAAATATATCTGAATAAATTATGCATATTTTCAGATACAAGCAGCTTTGTTTTACATTAAGTAATATGGAGTAACCAGAAATGTTAGTATATCAATAACCATTACGTCCATATTGGCCCCGGGGAATATTTCCATGCTACCAACACTACCTACTTTACTAAATGAAACAGAGAAATGAATTTAATTATATTTTAACATGTAACAATTCTGCTGGTCTTTTGGCCATGAACCATTGATAACTGTTTAGGAAAATGTATCTAATAAAGAAAAAGTCAATAAAGACTTTACTGCATGTCTCAGAGAAACATTAATTAAATCTGCTGATCGGGTATGTTATGGAAAAAATCGGTACTGTTAGCATGTGCATAAAATATCATATTTAGTACAAAAAACTGACAATGGGGTATTACTTCAGTGAACTGTTTCATAACAGGATGTTTATTATGAAAATTATTCTGTGGAGATGATGTTTGAACCCAACTTAAATATTTAATTTGATGGATTCATTACATTATCAATATCATTACTATACACATGCATAAAATTGCTACTCACTGAGGAAAGTAATTCTTTACTTGATATTCAACACTAACAACAAACACTTTAAATGTAGCTTTGGTATTCCCAGTGAGAAAATACAGAGACATTATGAAGGTGAACATTGTTTTAGGAGAAATAAATACATGCCTCATAAGTTGGCATTTTAAGAGAACTTGAACAATTCTTTATGTTCAACTGCCATACATAAACCATTACCATTACCATTATATAAATGACACAGTAATGTAATAATTCCAAGACCAGAAGGTGAATAACAAATGACTGAAAGGAACCAAGGACCCGAGTGAAGGAAACACATATAGGACATTAGTACTTCAAGCCATTTCCTCTGTGAGCCACTGGATAGCCACGGTTATAGCATATCATACCTGTAATAACTTTTGGTGCTACAAAGTTATTGCTGCTGTTGGGATGATGTGGCTGCTGATACAGATGCTGCTGATGAAGGCTGCTGCTGCTGCTGTGGAGGCAGGGCCTTGAGAATTGCATGAACTTCTTCTGCAACTGCCGTCAGTACTAATTCGAATTGCTGCTTTGTCTTTACCATTTGGGGACGTTGGTCACGGATGTGTTCCAGTGTTGCGGCAATGTCAATCTCCTTAGCGCCTTTAGCCATGCGGTTCAGGACCATGTCAATAAGGCAGTATGTGCCAGTGCGACCTACCCCATCACTGAAACAAACAGCAGTATATCAGTCTGTAAACCTGCAGGATTTGAGGTTCTCACAGTGGTCAATGTGAAAATCTCTGTCTCTTGCGATATTAAACCATTTAGTCCATTGAGGGTCCACTGACGCTTAACAGGAACATGTCAACTTACCCTTCAAACCCTGAAGATGGAGGTGACATGTTTCTCCAAAATATAAGCTGACTTTCAATGAGCTATATAGTGTCATATCCCAGAAGATAGGACTTTTCAATCTGTAAACTTGTTTAAATGAGGTAAAGTTAGATATATGCAATTGATATGTATGTTCTGAACAACTCTGTATCAATAAAGTTAAATATAAATAGCATAAGACACAAGGATGGTCATACACAAGACAGGAAGTAAATGGCCATGACGTATTTTACAATTAGAATGTTCACTTTCAAGGACTAAATACCGAAAAGCATCATTCAAAAATGCTTATTCAGCCTGGGTACGAACCTAATGAGATGGAGGTCCAGCTAGTAAGGTAACTCAATTATCTGCTGTGAGTTACGGATATTATAAAGGTCCTACCTAGGCAGGGCCATCACACACTTCATGGGGTAGTGAAAGACGAGTATGGAGTAAGGATGGAATGATGGTAAGCAGGAGAGAATGAAAGAAAAAACTTGCTCAAGTGTCACTTTTTATACTCTGAATCTAACATCAAGTCACTCAGGATTGAACTTGAGGCTTCTCAGTGAGAAGCCAGTGTCTAGCCACTGGAACTTCATCACAGCCTAAGTAATTTACATATGTACCATTAATGTTAACTCCAATCACATGTTTTCTGTACTCTATTACTATCACTGTCAGTCATAAAAAGTATTAATTAATTTGTGTATTAAATCTTTCATAGATGTAAATTAAATAATAAAATTAACAAATATCTGCCTTGCAGTTGTACCAATAATGCACCAACAAAAAATTTATATTTCATATAAGTTGCAAGCACAAAAATATTACATTTTACTCTTAATTATTTTCTGTGTTATTTGCCTAGAGGCTGCACATTGTCAGAACTAACCTGCAGTGGACGACGATGGGGCAGGATCGGCCACGGTAAGACTTGTTCACCTTCCTGCAAAAGAAGAATTTGGTACTAGTTAGTGCACTGAACTACCACATAAAATATAAGACAACTGTTCTATCTGCATATTAATATATACATTTCTTTTGACATTCTACGACATAAATATTTAACAACTAGAGAAATTATGTGAACATAAATGTATTAATTCCTTATATTTTGAGCTATTTAAAGTATTTATACCAGTGTTTTTAATTATAATAATATAACACACAACTACTGCTTCCTCTCCCTTTGGTATCACTAAAAATCAACTGAAAGAGCACTATTAGCGTCTAGTTTAGGAAATGTATAACGTATATGAAAAAAGAGAACACCATTATAATATCAGCTTAATTTTCAATGCACAGAAAAATTACTACTTGGTACCAAGCATGGATTAATTCATGTGATAATCCATTTCATAACATCGATGGTTGATAATCTGTGATCCATGATAAACAGCATCGATTAAATAGAGAGGTAGACTGAACTGATATAGATTAGCATTTACAGGAGCCATCTTCTAAAAATAATAATAATTGAGTTCCTATCTCACAGGAAGTACACTATGTCTTTGCCATGAAGATCAACCAGTTAATGACATTTAGAGAAATCAACCACCCTGTGGGCATAATACAGAACTTTATTATGTCAAAACGGGTGAAACATACAGAACCACTGAGCTTTTAAAGTGTAAAAAATGGCTTGGTTGTGTCTCCAATTATCTTAAATGTAGGACTTTCCAGCTTCCAAATTTGAAAACTATGGTTATGTGCATGGTCCTTCTGAATAGTGGGGGGGACAGATAAATTTATACCCCCAATGCCTCTGCTTAAAGGAACAAGCAAACATTTTTTAATATTTAAATGTTTATATATTACAAGATCACTTTTCATGCTACAGTATCCTCATTCGAGCAGATTTAGGCTCAGTTGTATTGATAAAAAGTGGCTGTACCTTCCTGTAACCTTTGCTTAACTGCCGTACCCCTTTTGGTGAAAACATGAACCTGGCCACAGAGTCAGGGAAGGGTCTGTGTTCTCTGCTGCCCATGTATTGACACATACAGACGATGGATAGAGTAATGACAAGATGCTTTAGAGTCACCAGATGCAATGCCAGAAATTGAATTTGTTTATGTGACCACTGAAAACATACTTAAGTTTTTTCGATTATCTTCAAAATTGAATGGGTCAAGTGTTGACTGACTTCACATAATGGAGGAAGCCAAGAAGCACAGAACAGTCATGTCAAACTCTGGACATAAAGGAGCTCTTTGAATATCTTCTTGGGATTTACACAGGCAGTCAAATTGGCATGCTGAACTCTCTTCAGTTGAACATGGAGGAAGGGAGGCCTAGTACTCCCCAACCATTTGAAGTCTGCCAAAGTTGAGAAGCTGAAGCAGACTCATGCTGCTGCTGGCTGTAGAAGGCAGGTCAACTGTACAGAAGATGATAGCGGTGTACCTCAGCTTGTGCCCAGCAAGAAGAGGGTGAAACCTTCTTACCAAGAAGCTCTGTCACAGGTTCAGCTGACCTCTGCAATTCCAACAAAGACCTCTCCCCCAACAACAACAACAACAACAATCTTGGCAGACAATACACCAGTAGACCCCAGTCTGGCAGTACCCAAGAGATCTAAGAAATCTGAGCAACATTCCCCTGCAATCATCCTCACTTCCTCAGTAAATCTCATTTCCTTTCAAAGGGAAATAATACTCATTACATATGGTCATGTAGCATTGTGGACAACAGGAACTGTGATCTGCAGTGTTATCCATGGCACCACTGACTACAGGACCATGCTGTCATATCTCATCCAGAAGAACTTGCACTCATCTTTCATCCAAAGTATGATAAACCTGTCATAGAGGTAATTCAACATTTACCAATTAACACTATATAAAATACATCACCAGTGCCCTTCAGGAAGCGGGCTCTGATGTCATGTGCATCAAACAAGAGATAGTCAACCCCCACTAACTGAGGGCTGTATAGCTACTACCTCCCTCCATCAGTGACTCTGGCAAACTGCCAGAAGTTACAAACAGCCTTCAACTTTTCCTCCCTCTCCAATATCATCATAAAAGTTGAAGCCAGCAAGGCCCAGACTGATCTGATGCAGCATTACAACAGCAGTACTGTGTTCTGGTCACACCTGAGTCCACTGTAAGTCATCCCCAAGATGTCTCTGGTGCTGGCATGGCTACCACTACCTTGAGTGTCCAGAGAAGGAAAATGAAGAGAGCCCCCCAAGTGCAGCAACTCAAGCTGCAGCATCCTAAAGGAACTTCTGCATAGGCAGCAGCACTTCAGTCTCACCAAGCTCCTACTGGTCAGAGTCTTTCATCTAAACTGGCTATGCCAGGGAAGACATGTGTTGCGGTAGCAGTAATAACCACACAAAGACCCAATCTGGTGACTTTTATTACTGACCAGACTGCGAAAACAGTGGAGCCAGCACTGATGCAGAGATGATTACCCTAATAACTGCAGTGCTGTGGACAGCAGAGATAGAGGATGACTGTTTCCCCATTATAATGAAAGCTGTCTGCAGCCTAGTAATGAGAATGTAAGGTCATACTCTCACTGTACATACAACACACTTCGTGTTCTGTTTCATGTCAGACCCCTCTTCTCTTCACGGGTAGGCAAAATGGAAGAACACAGGTGTCTTGCTGTACACAACAGTCTGGTCAAGAGTTCAAATAAGGCTCAATGCTATGACCTCATGACCTCAGGGAATGTCTGCCATAATGCAGATTCTGCAATTTCCACAGAGCTACAGCCAATTTAATGTTTTTTTTTAATATTTACATTATTATATTTCCTTCTTATGTCTGTTGAGCATAAACAACATGCTAAGTTTTCTTCCATTATCTGATGCAGAAATGGGGTACTAGCCAACTTTCAACCACATATACAGGGGCACAAAAAATGTATATGTGCTTCAGCACACAAAATATCTGCTTAAATATGTACTGGTATATCCTCGGTTCAGCTTTGAAAATGTCTGTAGACAGCCTCTACAACACTTTAATACATGTTATCTACAGACATTTTCAAAGTTGACCAAAAGATATACCAATAAATTATTTAGGCAGATATTTTATGTAATGAAGTGTGTATACATTTTGTGGGCCCCTCTGGCACATTTATTATAGATTTGTTACTTGAAATGACCACACACACATAATATTATTTAATTACAAACAAACAAACAAACCAACAAAAACATGAGAAACCTAAAATGTTTACAAATGTCTTGCTGCAATATAAGCAAACCATTCATACCTGTAGCAAGAAGGAAAATATTGGATGTTTGACAAGTGAGGGAAACATGAATACATACAAAATTCTATGAAGATATGAAGGGACAGGATGTCCTGGTCCAAGTCACAATGGAACAGATTTGTGGAGGGAGGGTGCGACATCTATCAAGCACAGTAAGCAAGTAGAAATAATTCCCATACACAAATGAGCTAAAGATAGGGCCCATGAAGCAAAGGCCTTCATGAACTTCTTACAACCTAAGCACCATCTTTGTGGATTTGGGGTGAGGGGATTCTTATGCCATAATAATATAGATAAATTAGAAAGCCGTTGAACTAGTTTTATGCCATACTAAATGCAAATAAATGAGAAATGAATCAAGTATCAATGCATTAAATGTTGATAGGGCAATGCTACTTCAGCTCTTTGGGACAGACTTCCCCCTGTGGTTACGATGAATACGTCATGGAATTGTAGGTTATTTGCAGTTACTGGACAATACGCAAATTATTCTAACCTACTTTATTCCCTTGACCAGTCAATGATTTGATTTTGTTAAAGATTACCAGCCCTAACAAATAACTGTAATGTAATTACTGAAGCCATTACTTTATTATAAATGTATGCCCAAAATTTTAACTTCTGATTCAAGTTTACAAATATTAAACCTTTCCATTATGTCTTATTGTTCCTATTTATAAACTATGTAAATGTGAGGTTACGTCCAACAATATGTCTTCATGTGAGATATGAGGTTCTCATGGCAGTGAATGTGAAGGCAGTAATCTTCAATATCTGTTAAATCTGCACTGTTGGCCAGTGATGCAGATTTAACACATACTTTACGTAACTTTATATAAATTTTACAACTTACTTGTGTTGTGTTAAGNCGATCTTCTGTTTTTGGAAAGAGACTATCCAGGAAAAGTGATAATGTGGTAGTTTTTCCATTTGCTTTCCACATCGCAGTACAGCAGCCGTTCAAACCACTCTGGTCACGCCTGTTGCTATACGAACTTGAACCATCTCGAGCATCATTTGCTCTGTGCTTCAAGTCGCTGCTGATGATGCTGCTTCCGGCATATATATATATACAATTAAGTGGTCTGAAGGCACAGATATAGGAAAGTTTGTGCCCTAAATTCTTTATGGAATTTCTTGCTGTTTTGTTTATTTTATTTCCTTATGGCAATGACCAGTAACTAGTTACCCTGTCTACTAGACAAGTACACCAACCACTATACCACAGAGTTCAGCTTCGATTACAAACGAAGTACATGGTGCAGTTATTTGTATCTGTCCCTATTTTCATCCCAGAGTTATTTTTCAGTATGTATTAATCAGAGGTGTCTCTGAAAAATCTGATACTATCAATAAATATGAGCTCTTTGCCAAAATTACATCAAATGAGTATATAAACAAGCAAGTCACATTGGACTGTCTATAAGTGATACTTATTTAATAAGTGTAGGATTTGAAATTTTCACAGCGGTGGTTAAGAAGAGTTCTATATTCTAGGATATAACAATATAGTCTGGTGAGAATCAACAGATGTTTTGGAGGAACATGTCACCATCATCTTCAGGGTCAAAGAATAAGCCAAGCAAGAAACCAGAGTGAACCAAGTGGCAAGCAGAGCCCAGGCTATATGTTCCTCTGAAATGTCGATTGACTTTCAAAGGACTACACGACATTATGTCCCAGAAGACAGAACTCTTTACTTAATAACTGTTTCTGGCACAAACTGTTATTAGTCTTGCGGAATTAACTTTATTTCCCTAACCGAGCTATTCATCTTTTTAAGTTTTTTCCAGATTAAGTATTCTACTGATCTTCAAATAGTACATGGCCAGGAGTATAGCATGCTTAGATGTATTCAGGTTGGCATCTTTTGTTAAGAAAGACAGGATGAAGACCACTAGTTGGTTTGCAGAAAAACATTATTAAGAAGTAATGGCCTGGTGTTTCATGAATCATCTTGCTTGAGAACTGTATATTCAGAAATATATAAAGATGGATATTACTTTTAGGAGGGGGATCTGTAATAAGAATGAACCTGTAAGCTCAGCTCAGGTGAGAAAGAACATATTCATATGTAGGACTCTACATTTACATACAAGTTTTACTGGTGTGTGCATGAACCTTTATTCACCATTGAATTTTAGGTGCTTGAAAATACAATTAATTTGTTAGCTATAAAGAATGCTTAATCTAACTGCAGAAATCTGTAAGCAGCACTGATCATCACAAGAAGCTGGCTTAGAGAAGGCAGATGAACAAAGCAGTGATCATGGATTGAAGCAGTTGTTAGTTGCTGGTGCATGGTGAGAAGCAGCAGTTGTCAGCATCTTGGTAATGCTGTCACAACACTCTCATCACTTTTGCAACTATGCAATTTGTTTCCAAACACAATTGCAAAAATCGCAAAAATGATGAAAGGATTGTGAGCTTTGTGGAATGCAAGCAATGATAAAGTGAGGATGGTAAAGCATACTGATGAACTAGCATCAGATGTACGAGTAATTTTATGTAATGATTTGTCCTTTCTGTACACTCTGTGTTAAGGCTTGAAAGTTCATGTTGTATGAGTTCCCCAAAATACAATTGTCATTACTAACAGGGTTGCTGAGATGACTCAATTAGCAACATTTTGCCTATTTGACTATTGCCTATTGTACGACTGACTGAAGACCATGCATATTTAATACAAATTTAAGAATTTCATTATAATAGGTAAATTCAAACTTGTTGAATAAATTGAGGAAATTTCTGTATTCTGAAAAAGTCTTTCTTTATTGTCATTTTCATCCTTTAGAAGACAGAAAATTGTTCATAAGGTTTTCGAAAGTATTGTAAGGTTCCAAATACCTGATATTACTCAAAAGGTTGATATATATTTAAAATAATTACTGTGTATTATACAAAGCACATACAAATATATTACGTTTACCTGAAATATTTTGTTGCTTGCTTTACTACAGTAAAATTTCATCTTCTTTATACTGAGCAATAGTACAGTGATGGTGAAGCATTTTTTTTTCTCTCCCCTTTATTGACAATCAGATTGTACAATCTATAGGTCAATGTGCTGATTGGTGTACAATTTAATAACTATTTATTGTACACTCTTCTGGCGCGTGCAGAATAAACATCCAGTGATGTTTTCCTCAGTTTGTTAGATCTGATGGCCATGAGGCAATTCTGGTGACTTACCACTTCAATAATAAGGATTCTTGTTATTTAGAGACATGGCAAGAGAAATATCACTACGTAACAGGTAAGATTATTTTATGTCACTATCTATACTGTTCATGCCTATATTGACTATTATATGGAGGGTAAACTTGTGGTGCAAGTTTTGTGTGCATGTGTTTTAACAGGAAGAAATTCACCACTGCCTCCACTGTTTATATTCCTAAAGCAGTTATATAGTAGAAGGAAGCAAATGCAGACTGAGAATAAGGAACTTTGTACAGAAGGTATGAAGAGCACATTCTATTATTCTATTTCTATTATTGGTTCTAAAGTGACATGAAATAATTAATTCACAAAGTTGGCAATGAAAAAGAGAAAAAGTCAGTGATTTAGGGTGGTAGGTGCTTTCTTCTTTATAACCAAATATTAGAATTAAATTGGTATGCACCTACCCATGTTTAATATAGCAACAGTATCTGAAGATGATCAATTAAGACCTGACATACTTTTATTTTTACAATTATGATGCAAATTCCCTGATAATGGATTCATGGAGCTTGCTTATTTCTGATAAAATGTTAATAATTCGAAGTTGACAATAACCTGCTTCCCATTTGCTCTTAAACTGAAAAGTGGTACATCTAATTTGCTATTCTCTACAGTGCAGAAGCACATACGTATGCTGTATGATTCAGAAAATATAAAGTTATATGTTTTCTTCTTAATTTTACGTTTGTTATTTCATGGATATTAGTGAGTTCAGTCACTAATGGTACATAATGTTACAGTTATGTTAACACTTACTTACTTACTCTTGGAGGTGAGCCCTTCTGGATGAGCCGCCAATTATGCAGCTACTCAAGAATTTCCCAGCATTTTATGGAACCCGAAGGTTCATTACCGTGTTCACAAGAGCCTTCCACTGGTCTCTATCCTGAGCCAGATCTATCCAATCCATACCATCCCATCCTATCTCTCTAAGATCCATTCTAATATTGTCCACCCACCTACGCCTTGGTCTTCCCTGTGGTCTCTTTCCTTCCGGCTTTCCCACCAATATCCTATACGCATTCCTCGGCTCCCCCATTCGTGCTACATGATCTGCCCACCTCATCCTCCTTGACTTATCATTCTAATTATACTTGGAGAAGAGTACAAGTTATGAAGCTCCTCAGTATGCAGTTTTCTCCAACCTCCTGTCACTTCATCTCTCTTTGGTCCAAATATTCTTCTCAAGACCCTGTTCTCAGACATGTCATGTTAACACTATATACTACTAATATTTTATGATGTGGAAGGATGTTGTCAACCATCGGCATTGCCATTATATTGGATACTGTCCAGTGTTTACTGGAGGACTATTGAAATTGTGGAATGTGGGTCACATGCCAATTGGTTTTTTATGGCTCATGAGCGTACACATCCTTTCAAAAAAACATCTAATCACGTTTTCCTCCCCTTTAAAAAAGGTGGCATATCTTGTTGGCCAATCATGAAGTACATGAAATCTCCAAATCACCTGACATGAACAGATGAAGCTCATTCTCAGTTACTCTGACTTACTACTGAATTGCTGCTACAAAAATAAACGTAGACATATGTGCTCATGTATAGGACAATGTTTATCCACAGTGCCCTTATTGAAAAAAAATTCAGAGTGGGGATTTTCTTTGTTTCATCAGACGCAAATGCACTGATTTTTTTCTGGCTGGTGTCTAAGCATCAAAAAACATTGAATTTGATTTCATGTGACCATTTCTTATTTGTGTGCTCGTGTGTAACAGTTCTGATCATTACAGAGCAGACATTTGTATCCCTACCTCAGAAAAAATGTATTTCTTATAACAAAAGCCCATGGGTTGATACCTGAAAGTTCAGTGCAGCCCCTCAGTGGCTGGAAGTTGGACAGCCACGGTCTGACAGTCCAACAGACATGAGGATCCGGGAATTGCCTGTATTCCCATCATCAGGCAACTGGTAGTTATTACACTGCTGCAGTAGCAGCACATTGCCTGTCCTACATACATGTCTCATATTGTCTAGATTGTTTGAGAAACCATTCAGTTGTGTTGAATGCATGAATGAATGGAAAGCCTGGATCATCTGAGCATCCATTATAGTCTTCCTGGAGGGTGACACATCTATAACATCAGCTGCAATGATCTTGTGCCAGTTCAGAGAAGAGCAAAGCAGGGTAGATGAGTGAGTTTTCAGTTAGTGCAGTGAATCAGTTAGGCAGTTGGTGAGGGAATGAGTGAGTAGTTAGCTCCCAGTTCATTGCAGTGCAGGGAAGTTGAAAGAAAAGGTGAGTGCAGTACTTGAGTAGTGGCATTGCTGTAACGTAATGCATACACAAAAAATGGATCCCAAAAGCATAAGTCATTACAGATGGAAAAACAATAATTGGCCCATAAATTGAAAATCCTTACAGCATAAATAGACTTTCTTATTCTTAAATATTAATAATATAATGGTAGCAGAGGTGGGGATAAAGACTTGCATTTCTTAAATATTAATCTTATATCATAACTGCAAGACCACTGAGCTGACTGGTGCCATGAATAAAAGAAATTAGAAATAAACAAAAATGTCAATATAATGACCTTCAATTGCCTGAAGAGAGATGTAGAAACTACTTTTGGAACATCTTATATTTTTGATATAACAGCGACAGTAGAGAATGTCCAGCATAATTACAGTGCAATGAAGGAACCACTGTGTCAAAATTTTACAGAATCATCTCACTATATATTTTTTTTCCTTGGCACTACAGCCTCAGTGGGCCTAGGCCTACCTCCATGAACTCGGTTCACTTCGGTTTTTCTTGATCTTACACATACGGTAGGACTCCTTGGGTGAGTGATCAGCTTGTCACAAGGCCTCTACCCATAGACAAACACAGAAAAACGCACACAAACATCCATGCCCTGAGTGGGATTCGAATCCACAATCCCAGCTTCCGAGCGAGCGAAGACAGTGCATGCCTTAGATTGCTTGGCTACCGTGACCGGCCATCTCACTATATCCCTCTTGCTATTTGAATCCCAACTACAATTGCAATGTTTATTCAACAGAAATATTCTGACCTGCGGAACTCAAGCAGAGCCTTAGTGGAGAGAGGCACACCAGAAACAGGCCAGGATAGGAAATGGAACTGTGTGACCGTGCGAGTTTCACCCGTCTTGAGATTCTTCAGGTAGAAGCTGCGTACCAAGTAGTCATCACACCAGATGTGTTCACTTACAAGATGTACCTGGAAAAAGTAATATTTTACCAATGAGTGGCTTAAATAATTCCTATTCTGTCTTAAGCTTTAGAAAGTAAGACTGATTTAAAATTTAAGGTAATAACCACTTTAGAACCTAAGCTTAAGCAGAATAATAATAATGAAATGGATCTTAAACAAATAAAATGTGATTATGTGTGTTGCATCCAGCTGGTTCAATATACAATTCAATGACAAACTTGAATGAACACAATGACAACTCTGAGCATCACTAAAAGCAGTACCATAAAATTAACAATGGCATGACACCATTATATAAACATCAGTTATGGTGAAAGAACAAAATGCACGTCTTTATGTCTCTGGTGATAGAATTTCCTTTCTGCTATCTTTTAAACTCCTTGGGTTCTTGTGGTAAATGTCATGTCCTGTGAAGTAATTTTTTTTACTTAGATTCTGTGAGACCTTTCAGCTTGTTCTCTTTACTTCATTCTCCAAGCAACTTCTCACTGGGAAGTTTTATTATAATGTGAGCAAAATGCCTGGAATTTTCTTCTCTCAACATTATTTATTGTGTTGATTTATAAATAATCTCATACTTTATCACACATTGAAGAGTTCTGTCTTTTGAGAGATAATGTTTTATAGCCCGTTGAAAGTCAACCAGTAATTTGGTGGAACATGTTACCTCCATCTGCAGGGTCAAAGAATAAGCCAAGCAAAAAACCATCATGATGCAAGCAGCAAGCAGCAAGCAGAGCTTGCTACCCTGAAGATGGAGACATGTTTGTCTAAAATATCGGTTGACTTTCAGTGGACTACTCTGTATTATATCCAATATGTCAGAACTCTTCATAAGTACTACTGTGAGAACTTCAATTCCCACATTTACTTCACCCTAGTCAGTTGCTTATTATTTAAGACTTGGCAAACGATATGCAATGTTAACTCAAAACACATAATCATAATTTAAGATGATATTTCTCACCTCATAAATATGGTAGAGTTCAGAACCCTCCTCGGGCCAGTAGCGGTGGCACATGGCTGTCCCATTCTCAGTGAGGCGTGTAAGCATAACCATGACAACACTCCCTTGCTCCCACACCATCTGCCAGAAGTCTGGAGCAGTGTGGGGCAGTGGACCTTGAGTAGCAATGTAGGCCGGATTACGTGGGTCATGATCCGTCTGTTTAAAACAAACACGTTGAATTTGGAATCACATATAAGTATTGTTTGCCCTGTCATGTAAAATAAATGCATTATTGAAGAAATAAACTGATTACATTAATGGAATTTTAATACCTATCAAACAATCAATATGATAAAATACATTGCATAATACCATTGTGCTTCATTTTTTAATAACACAAGATGACCTCATGGCTGCCAGAGAATTGCTGTATGCTGGCTTCTCCGTGACAGTCTGGGTTCAGTATTAGAGCAATTTCTGTAGGATTTGTGAACAAGATGGCAATAGGACAATTCAGAGTATTTCAATTTTCCCTCAGTACTCATCATTCTAGCACTGCTACATACTCACCTCTCACTACCCAAGGGATGTATAACAGCATGTTATCATTTAATTCTAATTTGGGGCTTCAACCTGATATGACACTTGCCTGGACTCAAAGAGTATGGAAGTTAGTCTTATTTCCAGTAAATTTTCTTCTATGGAAAAAAAAGGCAGTGACATTTGTGAAATAAAACAGACATAAACCCATTTTTGACCTACTTTCCATTCTCAAATAAAGGTGCCACTACGGCATAGCACTGCATCATAAATTCATACATATGTATGTATGTACACTATTTTTAATTGCTTGTACCTTACATTGCTTTGTGGTTACAAAATGTCCAGATTTAAAAATAGACATGCAAAACGCATAAATAATCACATCACCACATCAAATCAAATAACAGAAATTGTTCAACCTGATAACTCTTCTTCATTTCACTCATACTTTTTCATGTTTCAATTTTTAAATTTCAAATGCGTAACTAGTGGCCTCCTGTTAATATGACAAATCACTTACCATTTTCTGATTGAGTTACAGATTACTTCAAAATATTTCATCAGTTGTCAACAATTTTTAGGAATCAGATTCTTTTATTTTTGCTTCTTAGGTCCTTTATAGGACAGATTATTAAGGGCAGAAATCCCATTCAAAAGATGAAGTGAAAGTTATTGTCCTAATGCATTTGATAACAGCATAAAGATCTATTTATAGCTGCTATAATGAAGTGTATCAGCAAATGCGTTATAAAGGACAGAGAATATAAGAGGGATTTTAGAAGTTTCCTGTATACAGCCAAAGTACAATGATAGCATGACTGAGTTCTTTTAGGCATGGCATTAGTAGCTGCTGGCAAGTTGGCAGCCCACACGATGGCTGCGTGTGCTCAAATGGTGCTGAGCTATGGACTGAAGAAGAGTCCAAGTGGGTTACATATGTAAGGAGACTAACCAAGTTTCATGTTTCATTTGTAAATCTGTGTGTGAGTGTCATAACCTGTTGAAGAAAAGCTTATGAACTTGCAGCCATCACATTAAACTATCTGATGGCTGGTGAATGCCATTACTGCCTGAAGGAAAGACATAGTGCACACATACTGAAGAGTGACAATGTGCAAGTCATTACATTTCAAGGAAAAAGTTTCTGTAAAAATAGAATATCCCTCACAATTCATGATAACAGCAAATAATGGTTAAGTTATTGGAATGGATCACTTTGTTAAGGAAAGAATCATGAGAAAGTCGACCCAGATATACTTTTTGTTTATTACAAATTGCAAGTGGATTAGCAAGGTCTGGAATGGTGGTCCACATGGTGACAGAATTACCATCGTATTACAATTTAAAGCTCCATTTGGAGAGAGAATAAATTATTAATGGCTACTTATCATTATAAAGCAGTCTCTTGTTGATTATTATTTTAAGTACCCAAGTTAGAAAAACTGTATATGATCTACTCACTAGGCTTTTCACTTTTCCATATATTACCACGGTCAATAAGTTCGTGGAATGGCCGCTGAGCGTTGTACGGGAATTTACCACCAATATGTTTCGGCAATGTTTTCGACAGCTATATCAACGTTGACAGACTTGCATAGCGGCCTACGGCAACTATTTTGAGGGCAGATGTGGATTCCACGAGCTTAATGACTCTATCATGTATATGATTTACTGTCCTGTCATGGATATGGATATCTTTTTAAAAGACTTTGGAGGGATGCGCAGAGAAAGGCAGTGAGGAGCCTCCCTCATTCGTGTCACTCTCAGTTTGCATCACTTTTCTCACAGATTGATTCTTGCTCTGCAGATATCTGTGTAATTTAGCTCTCAACAAGTTCAATACCTTATGCTCCTTCTTTTTGTTTCTGAATGTCTTGGGTCCACCTTCCCTAACTTAAAAATTTATGTGGGCCCTGAAATTTTCAATCACGATTTTGTCAAAAAATATATCTCACAGTTGATGAGGGAGAAGTACATACTAAGTAACTCACAATTGTGGATGCATTGATGTAGTCAGAGCCTGAGATGTTGGCAAGATCATTGAGCACAACTCGAGCGTGGTCATATGGCAGAACTTCTGGGTAGCGATTCTTCTTCATATTCTCTGCCTGCAAGAATAAGTGAACTTGAATGAAGTCTCATGTAAACAGAAAGTAGTGCTGCACTGTAGGATGTTGGTCTGGCTTACTTTTTGAGCTATCGTTGTGGCACAGGGCTCTGCCTCATAGGCACAGAGAGCAACCCACTCTTGTTCCAGACGGTCCTTGTTCTTCAAGTGGTCTTCCATGTATGACTACAAACAGAGGAATAATTAATTCACATCACACGGTGCTAACATATCGGATATGCTTCAAATCTCAGACTGAGTTCCTCTGGCCTTCCTCATCCTCCAAGTGAATGCCAGATAATACTTTAAAACAAAAGAAGATCACATCAAATACCATGAAATTCAAGACAAATAGTCATTTATTTCTGTACAGCTCTTAGAATAACTAGTTTCCAAATCTGCTAACCAGAGTCTGAAATGGGGGAGAATGCTTGTTTTTGTACAAACTGCAAAGACAAGTATAGAAGATTCCTATCTATTCAAACAGAAGCTTCAGAATTTAATTTTCATTATAGAAATGTGACCTTATAATTTTTATTTTTAGTTTGGTTTCCTTGCTTCACAAAATTCAACAGTTCTATGACAAGCTTAATATTATAAAAAAATGAAAAATTGAAATTAACCATTGTAAACAGATTATATAGTCTTTCTTGATGTGATGCAATGCAGTCGGTAGTTAGGCACAAATGTTCAGGAGGACTCTATTGTATTAGTCTTCAGGGTCTACAAAACTACACAGTGTCACATAATTATCAGAAGACTGGATTCTTACGAGTAATATTCACCCTGTGAGAAACTCAATTCTCACTTAGCCCTTGCAGTTTATTATGTGTTCAAACAAATGGACACGAAAAGACAGTTCTCGTTCTGATATTTGGAAACTCATTTTCCAGTTCGATGTCAGAATTAACGTAACAGTTTGATGGTAAATTGAGGGAAAAGGGCCGATGAAGTGATGAGTGTTAAAATTGTTGACCACAACAGATTAAAATATAAAATGAGACCTAGCATAAGTCTTCATTCTATGATGAAAGATACTGACACTTACCAGAACCATGTGACCAGTTGAAATGTCCATGTTGGTGAGTGCTGGTTCCTCACTCCTGTCAACAATTTAGATCACATTCAGAATGAAGTATTTCTACTTCTATGAGTTCAAAGCCAGGCAGAACTGTATTATAGATTTATCTGTAGTACAGAGACAATCTACTTTTAAAGAGTTCTATCTTCTGGGATATAATGCCATGTAATCCACAGAAAGTCAACTGCATTCCAAAGCATTGACCAATAGCTGATGTGTCCCATTTCATTAGTCCCATCTGGTTTTCCTGTACCATCCTAATGGCATATTCTACAGTGAAATTGAAAAGCAGTGGTGATAAAGCATCTCCTTATTTTAGACCATTCTGGATAGGAAAATTATCAGACAAATGTTTACCTACTGAATTTTTACTATACGTTTCGTTTAAACATATTTTAATCAGGCTCACTAGTTTCATGGGTACCCCAAACTCTATCAGAATATTGTACAACACTTCTCTCCTAACTGAATCATAGGCTTTCTTGAAGTCTACAAATAGCTAATGTACTGTCTCACTGTGGCCCTGGGGTTCACTCAGCCTCTAACAGAAATGAGTACGAGGAATTCATTAAATAATTTTCCTGGGGAGTAAAGCATGGTCGGCGCGTAAGGCTGACAACCTTACCGCCATCTTTGAGACGACTGTCTAAATCAGCCCTGTTCAACGTGGCGCCCATGGTACATTTTTCTGGCACCCTCCGTAACCATATATAATTGAGCCGATTTTTAATATTAATTCAAATTGTAAGACAAGAGACATTTTTGAACGTCTGAGTATTGTTAAATATTTTCTAAAAATTTTATTATTATCATTATTATTATTTTTTTTTAGTATTATTATTATTAGTAGTACTAATAGTAGTGTGTGGTGGCGCCCGCACCTCCATAGGCATCAGTGAATTGTTCCCGAGTACATAAGAAAGTTGGATAGCACTGGTCTAGATTATGTGGGACCCTCAACGTCTCACAACCCTATGGGCCTTCACGGCCCGGTACAGGGATAGCTTTACTTTTTACTTTTTTACTGTCTCACTGTACTCCCATTTTTTCTCCAGTATCTGACGAATGCAAAAGAGCTGATCAGTAGTTGATCTGTTACATCGAAACTGACACTGACGATCCCCAATAATTTCATGTATATATGTACTTAACGTTGAGAGAAGAATATTGGATAAAATTTGTTGGTACTGAGAATGGAAACACATGGGACGAGCTTTTTGCGCTGATTTTGGTACGATGAAACAAATTCACTGCGTTACAGAATAGTGAAATAATCACGTGCTTGTACTACTGGCGACTCACCATGACGAGGTGCTGGACCTGGAGGAAGGGCTATTGTTGGAGCCCTCAGACTCCCTGGACAGGCTTGCAATCCTTTGCCCTACGTGGATTGGCTCCGGCTTGTCCTGCTGGGTCTTGGTCGCCATTCTTGCGCGGCACAGTTCCTGAAATTGTCATATCACTCAACTTTATCGTAGTTTCAACCTCAATCCCGGCCCGCCATCGGAGCAAGGTGAAAGCAACATAAATACAAGTATGCGGGCGCAACGCGTGACCTCCCAATCAACAGCCGGTACGTCGAAGTAGCAGCTTCAAAAATACAATCTATATAAATAAAAATGTAAATGTTCGTTTGTTCAAAATCTTAAATCCCCGAAAGTTTTTCACCGATTGCTTTGAAATTTTGATACAACGTTGCATTCGAATACGCGCGTGTTTTTATATACCTATTATATAGATGTCACACCTGTGACAGGTAAAAACATGCTTCTTTTGAAAAACAGCGCCATCTGTTGGACGTAAAAGCAACACACGCTATACTAAATATTTTACGATTCCATTTCAATGTTTCCGATTGCATTGTTAAATTGGATTTTCATAGATTTCGATTTATTTTCATTTTGATTTAATTATTTCGTGTGACATTGCGTTGGAATTGAGCTGTGTCGTTTACCATAGCGTTCATTTCGTGAGTATAGTTTATTTTTTTCTTCTTCCATTGTTTTTCATTTCGTTTTCTTAACTGTTTTCCTTATTTTCAGTGCAATTGGCGGTGCAATTGAGCTGTGTCGATTGATCTGCGTTTGAATTGAAATATTTTGTTAGTATTTTTTATTGTTTTTGTTTCTTCTTTGTTTTCCAGTTCCTGTTCTTCCTTTTTTAATGTTTTGCAATTTTATATGATTTTAATGTCGTATTTTAGCNATTGATCTGCGTTTGAATTGAAATATTTCGTTAGTATTTTTTTATTTTTTTTTTGTTTCTTCTTTGTTTTCCAGTTCGTGTTCTTTCCTTTTTTAATGTTTTTAAATTTTATATGTTTTTGTTATAACTTTATTTCTTCTTTTTCAGTGCAATCGATCGGCTTTAGTTCATCCAAATAATGCCTCGCAGAAGATCAAACTTAGGTCGTCGTACTCGCGGAGCGGAAGCAGTGCGACGAGTAATTGCAAATCAGACTGGGGAAGAACGGGCATCAGCGAACGAGTACAGCGGGTACAGCTAGTTATTAATAAACAGAAGACCTTCCTTCCCCTTGGCGCTACATCTCAATAAACAGACGTACTGTAATAATACAGAATTCTTGTTTACGACACAGGCTAGTTTCGCAGCTGGTTATTCATTCCGAAGGAACTGCTTACTCTGTCTTTAGGGCAGAAACAGATTCCTCCGAAACGTCAGTATAGATCAACGAATCTACAAAGTTTCATTCATCGCCTTGAAAATCTTTTATTTCGTCGGAGTTCTGTGAACCTAATGGAACCGCTTTTGACAACAGGAACCATGCTAATCTTGCGAAGCCTCGGCCAATGTCAGAAGCATGTTTTGGAACGTTCGAACTCTCGTTTTCGAGTTTTCGAAGCCCCTTTGGGGTATACATGTATGTCCACGTTTTTCTATAAAAAGTGTGGCCGTGTTCGTCTTATAATATGACAAGTCTCCAATCTAGGATTCCTAAGGAAAGTTTAAGAAATTTACTGAAATATAAATTTCTACGTAGTTAAAAAGATTTTAGTGGCAGACTAGGAAACGATGCGAGAAACAGAAAAAAGGAAGTAAGAAAAGCTTAAGAGTTTCATATAAAACGTAATTAAAAATGTGAATCGCGCAATGCCACTCAAACACTAGCGGATTTAATTAAAGATCGAGAAAATACGGCTGTCACAACTTTTCATACACGGCCGAAGGATGCGGCGACCTCTTGCTGCTGCTGCTGATAATACACGTATGATGAACATATTTTAAATGTTTTATCCATACAGTTTAAATATTATTAATATATAAGGTAACTCTATTACCGTGGGGGAACAGATTTCTTTCTCCGTCACTACGATCAGGCCAGCTCTGGGGATCAGCAAGCCTCTGTCTAACGAGTAAAAGGAGTTCTTTTCCGGGAATAAACCGGCTGATTCGTGAAGCTGACCATTCACCTCCATCTAGTGCCGAGGTTAAGAATACATGTTTCCACTTCCATATACGTCTTTGTGGTGTGGTGCTTAATAATGAAGACGAAGAACTTTATCTTTAACTAATTAACCAACTAACCAACCAAACTAACTCCACAGCTGAGCCCTTCTAGAGATGCCACCATTTGTGCAGCTACTCAAGAACCCAACTCTTTATGCAACCCGAAGGTCCATTACCGTGTTCACAAGAGCCCACCACTGGTCCCTATCACGAGCCAGATAAACCCAGTCCATACCGCACAATCTGAGATCCATTTTAATATTACCCTCCCACCTACTTCTAGGTTTTCATAATGATCTCTTTCCTTCTGGCTTTCCCATCAAAACCCTACATGCACTCTTCTTCTCCCCAGGCGTACTACATGCCTTGCCCATCTCATCCTCATTGAATTGATCAAGTAAAGTTATGTACGTGGCATTATGTAGTTTTCTCCTACCTCCTACCCCTTCATTCTTCTTAGGTCCAAAAATTCTCCTCAGCACCTAGTTCTCAAACACCCTCAATCTACGTTCCTCCCATACAAAACCACAGGCAAAATTATAATTTTTACGTTTTTAGTCAGCAGACGAGAAGACAAAAGCTTCTGGACTGAATTGTGGCAAGCATTTCCCAAAAGAACCTCACCTTTTACATTTATTAAATATTATTCATATTATTTAGACATGGCCTTATATCTTGTTGTGTTTCTGAGTCGCATAGCTAAGTGTTAGATTTATGGAGAACGCCGTTCCGGCTTCTGCCAGCTCCCGCGGCTCCAAGCAGTTCAACCAGCGGCAGCTACTGGGAAGGTGAGTAGGCCCACCTGGTAGTCCTTGCTGGCCTCAGTGTCGGGGGCTGTGAGGTTCTGCAACTTCTCTCTGGAGCGGGCATGGCGGCGAATGACATAAAGGGCAGCGGCTGCTATCAGCACTGCTGCTATCACGCCGCACAGCAGGAACGTTGCTACGTATAGCTCATGTTCCGTGTCGGGATTCGCTCTGAGGACTGTCGGCAGCTTCGTCTGTTAAAAATATAACATGTACAAATATTCAAAATCTCTGCTTTGCCCACTGACAATGAAACATTCCTAATGGGACCAGAGATTTGAAATTCAGTGCCAACCAGACTTCGTAATGTGACCCTGAGGCCAATTTCACTAATAAAATATGAAAGAAATTGATATTAATAGAGAGCCCACACGAAAAATATTTATATTTAAGAAACGCTTTCTTTATTCATACAAACCTAAAATAACGGATAGAACTCAATTTTGTCTGAAGCGTGCAGTATGGATGTTCCACAATGGCAAAGCGCTATGTAGTGATCGTTGTGCACTGCACAGGTTACATATATCTTACCCACATTCCCCACACAGTTCATTAAATTTAAATCAGCTTCATTGCCTGCGTGTGATATTAATTTGCAGCAGATACAAATACATTACTGTAAAGCTAACAAAAGATACACGTGTGTGTGTGTTAAGGCGAACTATTTCCCAATGCACTGCACTGCACTGCGAAGACGGGTTTTAATAAAGTGTAAAGGCTCTAAACGCGACCTATACATTACACGATAAGGCGTGTTTGAAATAATTTGTAAATTTACATTCTAGCGTAATATAAAGCAGCTTGTTACTGCATCCATAAGGACGAAAATAGTACTTCGCCCTCAGACTTTCAGATAATATCCTCAACACTAACCTTAGCTGAAATTAGTGTAGTTCTTTCGGATATGAAACATGAGGATGGGCAGGCTGATATACAGGTTTCTCTCATTGCTTGATAATTTAATACAATTCGTATAAAGAACTGATTATAAAGCAAAAGCCTCGGAGCTGAAACACGTGACTAGACCTGTGATGCCTTCCTAATCTGAACTTCCGAACAAAGTATACATGTACAGCTCTGTGGACAGAAATGGGTTTATTACGAATTGTTATACCTGAAAATGGTGAAGACGCTGTCTCTGATGTTTGTTGACCTGTCGATGTCATGTTTGACTGCTCTGGGTCGACTCATGAAACAACCCTTCGAGGCCTTCGAGTTCGGTTCATATACCCTTGAGTAGGAGGGCAGGTGGGGACAGGTAGATGGGTGGGTCGGTTCGACGGGATCCACCTACTTATCGATCAGCTGATGTTTATTCTCATAAATGTCAGGGAAGATGAAACGTTTGTTTCTTAATAACACAGATGAGTGAAGATGGTGGGCCAGAGGAAAGAAAATATGAATCTGAGCTTGAGGAAGATAAAAAATATTTGTAGAGGCTGGGCTCTGAAGGGAGGGTATCCTCATGACGCATGACTGGGTTTCACAGTCCCCGTACCCCATTTGGCAACCTGCCACTCTTAAGCATTGAGACAGTTCTACATCTGGAAGTGGGTGTTTTTTCTCGCGTTCATCTGTATCCTCTCCACAGCCTATAGAAACCGTCTTTGACTTTCTGCTACTGGCCAATGCAGCTGGCCGACNCCGCTTTTCCCTTTTTGCTCCGGCCCACGCCGCCTGCCCCCCCCCCCCCCCCCCCGGGTCTTTGCTACCGGTATCCCTACTTTAAATTCTATAATCTTTTGCTGAGATGACAGGCATTGCGTTCATACTGGGTGGTAATCAAATTGTCAGAATTAGAATTATACTATGTTCAGAAGGGGCACGCGGTAGGGTAGTTGGTTGAGGGGCTATGCAACAAGCCGGAAGGTCGCGGGTTCAAGTCCCGATGAAGTCATTGGATTTTTTTTTCAGTTGACCTAATCCTTCCTGGCTCCGCTAGCCACAATTTTCATTTCCTCTGGTTATGTTTTAACAAATGATCTAGACTAGGAAGATCGTTGTTTATGTCCGAAAGTGTAACTTTTCTTGTCGACAACCTATATGCCGAAGCAACTGCATCAGGTTAATTACAGCTGTAATCATTACTGGGGGTGGCCTTCCTGTTTTCCCAGGAACTGCCTCTTCTTGTGGAGTAGCCTCCGAACTGGAAGAATCCGTGTCCATGGCGTCTGCCCTGATGGGGCTGAAGAAATTACGTGTAACGACCACCTTGGGGGGCTATGTTTAGGGCGGGAGACGCTTTGACTTGCACTGCCGCTTTCTTCGGAGTTTGGGCGGTATAGCAGGTGTCGTGGAGCTTTCGTCTCCGCGCTTTCTAGAAACCTTCCTCCTGGGTTGGTTAATCCCCTACAGCATTTTGTGAATTACTATGGCCTTTTAATGTGCTCGCCTTCAGTTCGTTTAGAGTCACCGTATACGTGCCGTACAGGGCGCTGACAAGGGGCTTCCCAGTGACAGCTTTGCAGTAGGTCGCTCTGTTTTCTTCTGTCGTGTTGACTATCGATGACCAGTCAGGGCCTTCCCCCACCGAAGCTACTGTGTAACCTCCTGCGTCTTCTGTGTCACATAGTATTACAAACAGCTGTTTTAACTGTGCGTCTGCATCGGGATGTTTTGTTATTAATACCAGGCAGTCAGGTTTTAACGATGTTCTTTTCTCCGTTTAGAATTTTTAATATCCAGGCACTGGGACGTCCGCCATGATTGACATGACACTTGCACTCTGTGCATAAAAGCTACAAAAGTTTTGCATAAATTGCGTTGACCTAACAAACACAGACTCACTACTGAATTTTTCAAATAACTTCACTGTTCTCAAATTTTTTCTGCCTCACTCATATTGATCACTCTTCTGAATCAGTACACAGTTCAACGTCACTACTGTCACTCAGTAACTGTAACCAATGGAGCGAACCATACCTCTATCACTCATTCAGTCAACTCTGAGTTTGATTCAACCACAACCAGCAGACGAAAACACATTAATCTTCCTCAGCCGAACCCTCCTTCCTCTAATCAGTCCAAATTTTTTTCACCACACTCCAGCTATGTCAATTCAATCTCCATTGACCATCACTGAATTATTCTCATATTTCTGAGATCGAAACAAAAATTTGTCATCGAGTCACACCTGCACAAGCACCAAGATAAGGTATAAAAGCCAAACACAGCACAAACCATCAGCGAGAGCTAAGAGAAAAAATTATATTATTAAAAAATGAAGCCCTGCACCACAGAACTATCAAGATATAAATCGTCACTGGAGAGACGAAATTCTCTGTATGGTACCAATACAAGAAAAAACAAATTTTCCTCCATAATCTACACTGGAAGAAGTTGTCGTCTTTTTACTTCCGCTATGATAAAGGGAGTCTAGATGTAAGAGATGAAACGAGATATCCCTTGTACCTATAATTTTTCAGATCAACTCCTACTACCATCTGGGATAAAACGCAAGCCTTCTCAATTGATGCCCTGAGCACAGTTCTCTCGAGCAATGCGCCTGCCAAAACCACGACATGATCTGCTCCTCGATCTGCTTTCGTCACCTACTGCTTTATCCTGTCTTGGGGGCAGCTTCGGAAGCTCTTATATAGATCTTATATAATGGCGGTGAGTGGGATGTGAAGAAATGATTGGATGAAGCAGAGGAGAGGGTTGCTCTCCAACTACGCACCTTCTTTATTCTCGAATGCCGAAGCCATACATCATAAAACAAAACTTCTAATTCGAAAAATCGAGAGCAGTTTATGGTTTTCGGAATGAATAAAAATTATGCAGACAGGGAATGAAACCCGTGAGTTTCAGTGTATTTTACTGTGGGAAAGAGTCCAAACACTCCTTTTCGGTTTCAGATACAGACGAAATATAATTATCTGAACCGTGCAACGGTTCTTTTTTGTCTCGTTCTTTGGAGTCCCCCCCCCAAACGCCGGGATGCGAGCCGTTTTTCCCTCTTTCCAC